AATAAACTCCCCCATCCACCCGCCCCGTGGTCTTTGGGGTAATGTGGGGAGAGAAGTACCGCCTTAAACCGGGGGGGGGGGAAGAGGACGGGAGAGGCCCTCAGGGGGACTCGGACTACAACTCCCATCAGCCACCGGGGAGGGCAGGTCGGAGCCCAGCAGCCTCTGGTTGGGGGAGCCGCCCTCGGCCCCTCCCCGAAGCTCTGTGGTCCCCCGTAGCTCTCCAGCTGTTCTGTACTACAACTCCCACCATCATGTGCCCTGGCGAGGGCGGATGGGAGTTGTAGGCGCCAGGACCCCCTGGGCCACTGACCACTCCCCCCCCCGCCGACTCTGGGGCCCAGGTTATGGCTCCCAGTACCCTGAGCCATGGGCTGCGTGGCCTGGGGCTGATGGGAGTCGTAGTTCCCCAATATGAGGAACAGTGTACAAGTTGAAACAGTTAAATAGGGGTAGATACAATACTACTTAATCTTAAATCAAACTTTTAATGTTTTTCGCTGATTGTATCTTGGCAGTAGGTATACTGAATTCTGTGGGTTTTCAGGCATGCTTGGTATGCTGATTTCAGGGCCCACATTCTAAGCAACTGTCAACGTGAGGCAAAGAATAGGTCTCTATCTTGTGCAAAGAAAGCCCCTGGTTCAGTGCATGGAGTTGCCGGGGAGGTCTGAGAGACTCTGCAGAGAGAGATGCTGGCCAGTGCAGAGAGTGTGAGAGAGAGAGAGACTCTGACTAATTTTTTGGGGGGGGAGGGGGTTTCCTAAATAGCTCCCAGCAATCCTAAATTGACAGTGCTCTTCATTCTCCATTTTGACATGACTTGTCTGCTAGCTGGTACTTACTGGCAAGAACGAGTTATACTGTGTATACATATAATTTGTATGATCAACAGATCAGAGGTGGAACTATTTGTTTTTTTTTCCAAGAAAAAAAGAGGCATCAATCAATTGCTTGCTTTAGTGATGAAAAGATGTTCCACACCATCTAGGGATTATAACTGTGCATCAGGAAATTTATAAAGCCAGGTTACACTAAGTCAGAGCCTTAGCCCGTCTTGTTCTATAATTTTAAAAAAGAGAACAACAGGGGTGGGCGGGTAGGCTGTAAGCTGGAGTGTTTCCCCTGTTACATGTACTTATTGCTTCCAAGCAATAGTAGTTTGCTTTCTGAGAAATAAGTGTGGATTAGGAAACTGAATTTAAAAAGCATGGTTCTGTGTTTTGGCGGAGCTCTGAACCTTTCTGTGTACCTTTTGTTTATGTTTTGGGACAAGTGCTTTGTTCTTGGAAGGGGTGGTTCTATGAGTGGCCACATAAACCAGGGTGGCCATTTTATGAATGGCAAGCCCTCACCAAAGGAGCCATGTTGTGAAAGCACTTGTGTGACATTTTGCCAGAATCTCAAATGTGTCCACCAAACACTCTTCCCACAAAGATTGGGAATATTTTTAGTGACCTTTTTCCATCTGTGTTGCCCAAAATAATTTAACTGGAAATTTGGGAGGGGGGGTTGGATTAAATTTGAGGCTTCTGCATGCCCAAAATATAGTTTGGATCTGGGCGATGGACCTTCCAAAGGTGGCATTCACAGTCACAATTTTTTGTATGTTGTATTTTGATGACTGAGGTGAGGTGATTGCTCTTGTGACCCTCTCTTTGAAGGTCTCACCTCTAATTTTTTACTTGATCTCCACTTTGTTAAAATCTGATAAGTCAAACTTTCCAACTGGGAATCAAATATGGTTTGTGTCTGTGGGAGTCACTTGGAGAAGGAAGTAGTTGTTTGGAGAATAGGTTGATGAGCAGAATCTAAGGGCAGAATACACTCTGCTTTTCCATTAATTTTTAAAAACTGTCCAGTGAACTTTCTACAGATGACGTGCAAAATGCCACAGAACTCCTTGTTCTTGGAAAGATTATCATTTCTCTGTCACTCTATTTTTTAAGATAGGCATTTAAACCAGGCATTTTTACAGTTTCAGGCTTAGCTGCAGTTGCTTGAGCGCTCCCTTGCTCAGCAGTTTTCTTTCCTTAAACTCGATGGAGTCATAGGCCCCTTCTGTCAGTCAGTGATAATCCACAGTTTCAGTGCAGTGCAGTCCGCTTGGCAGAAGCTCTACTCTCCGTCTGCTCTCCTCGTCTCTGGTTTCCTTAGTAAAGACTTAAGAGTATAGTGTTATCAAGACTGTGCCCTCAGCAGCACTCCTCCTGTGCAAGCACTGACTTCGTTTGTCTGTTTAACCGGTCTCTCTGTGTGTGTGTGTGTGTGTTGCTTATGAAGAAGGGGCAAGTTCTCTTTATCAAGCTCTTCTGTTGCTGTAAGACAAAGACGGAGTCTGTTCTGTTCCCCTTATCTCCTTTTTGTCCAGATTGAGACAATCTGAATGACTGTGCAGTCAAATATGCATAAAATATTTCTTCAGTCATGAAAGTACAGTGTCAGTGACCAAATTCCAACTGAGAATCATTAGGTTTTTGGATTTTGGCTGCTTGTAATTAACACATGGAACCACATGATAGCGTGTAACTCCCTAGCTGCTGGTTGCTGGTGTTTAGGGATAAATACTTATATGGATGGAGGCTTATAAATGTTAGGTGTGCAAATACAGACATCATATGTCTAACAATTTATTGTTTATTTTTTATTTGACTTTTGTAGTATTTAAGTGCAAGCTTGATCACTGCATACAGTTCAAAAATTCTGAGCATTTTCTGTTATAAAATGAAAGCCGGGGAGCAGTTGGCGATATATTCATTTGCTTGACAACATTAATGTTTCTTCACTAAATTAAAGAAAGATGAAAATATATTCATTTGCTTGACAACATTGTTTCTTCACTAAATTAAAGAAAGATGAAATCCATGGCAAGATGTTTTGATGCTGTGTCCCTCAGCTGATATTTGAGCAAGCTTTCTCTGTTTTCCTGATATGCCTCCTGCCACATAAATGGATGTACGATGCTGTCTGACCTTTGGTTTGAGACAGGCTACAGCTGAGGTCTCATTCAGTTGTGAGTGGACAGTGGTCAGAAAACCAACAGACCTGGTCAGAATGGGCTGGCGGTCAGCATGTTGGTCAAAAAATCGAGGCAGGAGTTGGAGGGCGGCAGAGGACTGTGTTCCAAGGCAGTAAGAGAAGAATGAAGGGCCCAAAAGTAGATGCGATCAGGCAGCTGATGAGAAAAGAAGGCAAATGTTTAGGCTGGACACAAATTGTTTTGATTAAAAAGCTGGCAGAACTGTACAGGGCCTGGTGTCTCGCAGCTAGATGGGAAGCATCATCTTAATAGCAGTCAAGCTGGGAAGTATTTGGCAACAGCAGTTGTGCAGCAGTTTCCTACCTCTGGTGGGCTATCCTTCGCATAACAGGCTGTGCTGCTGAGCCTGCAAGCAGGGGGTGGCTGCGTAAGCGAGGGAAGGCCCATGGGGTGAGGGAAACCCACCTGCGTGCTTGCCTGACTGCAGTGCATTCCAGAACAGGATTCTGGTCATTGTTTAGTAAATAGGCATCAAATAAACATGCTGGATGTGTTTTCAGAATGGCGTAAGTGTCCTTACAAGGTTGAAATGGAATGGATTAGGATATCCCTGCACAATTTTCTGCAACCTCTTTTTCCTTCCCACACAAGGGTTAAAGCTACCCTTTTTTGGTCCAGGGGATAATTCCTAAGCTTAATTTTTCTGGTGCTTCTCATTGGAAACTTGCATGACTTATAGATCATCTGTCCAAAGGGAACTAGAAAATGTTGATTGTTGTTTCCTTGTAAATTTGCAACAGTAATAAAGCAGAATTGCTGTTAAATATGAGTTTCTACTGTATCGTTTAGAAAACTGACCGAAATTCAGGTAGCCTTTTCCCTTAGAATTTCCTCTCTTACTGTTAAGAAATTATTTCCAAGAAAGACTTAGAATTTATGGAGAGAGAAGGCAGATTGTCCTCTGCATGATGAGGACCTTCTTCAAAGCAACACAGTTGTCTTGTAGAGAGGAAAGAGGTGATAAAAGGTAGCTTCGGGGGTATATGTTATTTCTGCCCAGTAATGACAGGGTGGGAAGATAAATGGTTCCTTTCCAAGTGGAACACAATTAAGGTGTCCCTTGAGATGCAGATGGAACAGGTGGTGACCTTGTTTTTCAGAACCTGATTATATTGATGGAGCTCCAAGGAGGAGTGGCCTGCTTCCATAGCTGCAGGTGAGGGAGGGCCCTTTGGGCTTCACTGTGTCAAACAAAATATGTTTTTCTGTCTCCCTCGTTTTAAAAAACACAGGGGAAGCTACAGTATTTGAAGTGTTTGTGACCAGAGAGCCTTATCTGGAAAATGGTTTCTTCTGCTGCAAAAGGACCATTTCAAGTGAGAGAGGGACTTGCTAGTTGGTTCTTATTAGCACAGCAGAAATGTAGGATCCATTGAGCTGGGTAAGATGGATCAAAAGAAGCTTTTGATATTAAGATCTAGTAATCCAGGCAGGGAGGGTTGTTTTGACCCAGGAGATGGGTGGTTCAAAAGTTGAGATGTTAGACCTTTATCCCATGTGGTTGTTGCATCATTGGTGTTTTCCTGTCCTTTATGCCTTGGCTGGGATGTGGTACATACATACATACATACGTACATACGTACATACTGGGTGAGGGCAGCTTTTTATTTTCCTCTCCTATTTTGGCGACTTTGTTAATCTGTTTAGCTTGGGGGGGAGAGACCTAACATGTTAATAAGCATGGGGCATTATTATGCACATGAGCAAGGAAAAGCTTTCACACAGAAAAGGAATCAACCAATTGAGCGTATATATATATTTTTCCTCTCCTACATCCCTCTTCCCCAATTCCAGAAAATGTGGCAGGATTCTCTAGAACACTTCTGAGATGGTAGCAGTTTTGTAGTTGTTCTTTGAAAAACCAACACTTATCAGGGACAAAAAAAAAAACCTTGTTCATAGCTCTGTGATTCTTAAACCTTGGCATCTAAAAGTCAGTGTAAAGTCAGCCTCCACCCCATGCTAGCAGAAAATAAGACTGAATGTTGGAGGTAAATAATAATAATTTTTAGAACTACTATGTGAGCCAGGCGATACAGGCTAATGTTCTTTGTATGTTTTTATGTACTTCCCTTTATGCTTTTGTCATTCTTGAGAGAGAGTCTATAGTTAGGGAAGCAGGTCTGAGGAGGGCTTTGCTAGCCACGCAGTTCTAGTAATGTTGCCTTTATAGCTTTGATAAAGTGTTACTGTTGTTCTGAGTGCCAGCGTTGAATAGTTGTAATACAGACAATTGTTTTTGTTTTGCAGAATTGTTTTGTGATTTGACACTTGGAAGGAGACAAGGTTGCCTCTGAACTGTTGAGTTCTGTCAACAAGGAGTCACTTTCAAGGTAGGTAGGGTTATCACACCATATCAGTTAATAATGAGAAGGGACTGCTCCAGGGGTGGCACATTTTGGTTGCAGAATTATTTAAAACATTGCAAAGTAAAACAGAAGCATCATTTTTACAAACGTGTGTTGCTTCATTTGTGGCTGGCACTTAGTCCACTATCAGTTTTCTAAAAAGTAAAAATGCTGTATAGTTATCAGAGGAGCCTAAGTGCTAAGCCAAATCATAAGAGTTAAATTAAGTAAAAATTAAGTTAGATTGTACAAGCTTGAGAAATCAGAAGAATTTCTGTTAAGCCATTATAATTATTATTACAGCATTATTTTATATATATATCTTAAAGAATGCTGGAGGCCTTCAAGAGAGAACTGAACAACTCTCAGTCCAATCTGCTTTGATTTGGATTCCTGCATTGAGTTGGGGGTTGGACTTGATGGCCTTTTAGGCCCCTTTCAACTCCCTGATTCTATGAGTAGCCTTAGGCTCTCTTAGAGGCAGAGAAATGGATGGATTCCAGTTGAATTTTTGCAATAACTGTATGCATATTGTCAGCAGAGCTCCTTGTGTGATGTGATTGCCGAAAACATTGTTGTTATGCAATTGATCCATCTGGTCTGGCTTTGAAAGAGAAGGAGTGGACGAAGGCTCCAGATTGCACCATGCTTTGCCAGTTATACCCAGAATATGTTGTTGTTGTTTTTTAAAAAATGTGGAACTTAACAGTGTCTTATGAGTAGCACGTTTCTGTTTAAGTTTTAAAACTGTAACATGTCCTCTTTGGAACTTATGCTGAGGCTCATCTCTTTTTTTCTTGGTATCTCCATTGTACAGTATTTGTATCTTGTTGGACAGCACAGCAGCAGAAGCCAAGATCTTGAAATCTTTTAAGATGTCCTGAGTGTTTGGACCACAGGGACTTAGGGTGGGAGGAGGGGGAGCGGTAGCCCTTGGCAACACCCCACCTGTCAGTCCTAACCTTGTTATTGCTTCACCCACTTGCAACTGCTTAGAACGTGTGTCTGTGATATAGAGTACGATGGATAAAACCATCCTTAGTTACCATGGAGCCAAAAGCTCACATTTAGTTGAATGCCTCTGAATTAAGTCAGACCTTATTTTGCAGTACCGGTCAACTTGAGCTCTTTGTACAGTTGCAAATGACAAGACAGGGCAGGTGTTAGTTTATAGGGTTTAAGTCTGTGGCTCATTTCTGGCAGACACAGAGGGAGAGCTTTCTGGGCCTTTACTCAGGATTACATGAGGTATGCAACTTCCCTGATAACATTTCAAAAAGGCATGCGTGCAAGGGAACTCTCTCCCCCCCCCCCCTTCTTTTATTGCTAGCCAGGATCAGCACTGTCCCTGAGATGATGTACGTCAGTTGAGTTGTTAGTTAATTATTAAAGTTGCCAAGTTTGAGAACAAGGCACCATGTTTAGATTGTGCTAAATGTTTGCAGCAAATACATACATTTGAAGTTGTTTTTGATCTATTTCTTGAGAGTGTTTTATGCTCTGTCTGCAGCATTTTCTAAAGCTGGTATTGCATAAATTATTTTGTTCAGCTCTGAGTTACAGGAAAATTTTAGCTAGAAATTGAATCTTCGGTTTTTCCTTAGTAGAACAATGTATGGCTTTTTAAAAAAAAATGGGTCTCTTTCTCTGTTGTGTGCTGAGTTTTCTCTGGTAAGAGACTGTTGTCGGTATTTCTCAGAGTTCTTCACAACGTTATACCTGTGTACCTGAGTGAACTTTGGCCACTGTTGTATCCCTCCCTATTTTTAAGAGAACTTTCCCACTTTCCACCTGCTTCAAACACATTTGATGCTATAAGGAAAGCTTATTTTCCATTACCAACATTTGAAACCTTGAAATACTTGGAAGGGCTCCTGACTTATTTTGGCTGCAGCAGAAGAGTCCCTAGTGGCTGCTTGACTATGACAAGTGTATAACTTGACTGACCCAGTGCCACAGCTTTTCAGAGTCAGCACCTCATCCTTGAAGCTAAGCGTGTATGTATTCTTTTGTTCCGCTGTAGGAGAGTCCTTTAACATTGGATAATTGTTCTCCTGGCTTCTTTCTCATAACACGCAGGAAGATTTCAGGAAACCTGAATGAGTTTGTACTTGGGTGCTGATAAAAACTAAAGGCAGTAGTTATGTTCTAAATTAAAACGTTGCCTGAATTAGACCAGAGAGTTCTTGAGGCATTTTCCAACCTTGGTTTTGCGTTCTTAGAATTCCGTTTCAGAGGCAGTCAGATATATGGGATTTTTTTAAAATTATATTAGAAGCAGAAATGATATGTTCTTATAGCTCTCCAGCCATCCAAGGAGAAAGTCTGGAAAGCAATTCACTTGGGTGTTTTCTCTTTCTGTGTTGGCAGGCTTAAGGGAAAGGAGTGAGCAGAGATGTCAAAAACAAATAAATCAAAATCAGGCTCCCGTTCTTCTCGTTCAAGATCTGGGTCTCGGTCCCGATCCCGATCTTTCTCAAAGTCTCGGTCCCGGTCTCGCTCTGTGTCACGGTCAAGAAAACGTAGGCTCAGGTAAGTCCCGTTTGCTGTTCCTTCTAACAGCAACATTGTGTTCTTGGATTCATTTTGCATTGAAAGAGAGCTTGTACAGGCAGGAGTTCTCCTGTTGAAAGCCTTTTCCTAGATTCCAGATTGTTTGGAAGACTCTTCCATCTTAAGTTACATGCTTTTGTTTGCTAACCAGTTCTATTTTTATCACCTTATCATCAAAATGGCTGTTGCTGAGAAGAAAAGCTCTTTTTGTGCTTTTTGTGTTGTTGGACGACCCTTTCAAAACGTTATTTTTCTATAGAATGAAATGTCACCCAGGGTCTTAAGTGAGTGGCTTACTTTTGTCATTCTTCTGACTTCAGTATAAATCTTTGTGGATTACTTTTCCAGTCCTTTGAGAAACATGGTTATATTTGTGCTAATTTTTTACATATAGATTTCAAAGTACCTGTGTTTGAGGACTTTGCTTTTCTCTAGCCTAATTTCTGAGAGCTGGAGGTAGATAACAAACAGTCTCCTTGGCTTTATGGAAATTATACAGGACAAGCACTCAACAAATACTCTGCAAGAAAGTCTTGTACCTCCTTCACCTCCACCTCTAGCCTTTTACATTTGAATTTCTTTTCTCCAATCCTAATTGTAATCTCAGCTCATTGCTGAGGACATGTGGCAAAACATGTGGTAGAGCTGGTAACTAAATTACAGAGGGAGAGGAAGGGAGAAGGAAAGAAAGGGTATGAAAGGGACTTAATTGTGTATGATATTCTTGTTACATGTTTCAGCAGAGAGGGTTGTTTGAAAAACAAACACTAAAACTGTTGTTGCAAATGGTCTCAGGAAACCACTTTACTACTTACTGGCACATGCTTGCAGAACCAAATCTAACTCACTTTGCTTTTCACAGATGCTTGTTTCAGGTTTTTTTATTTAGTCATCTCTTGCTTTTAACTACCTTTTAAAATCTGAAAGAATCAAAAAGATTTTGTGTTTTTTTAGGCTGGAAGCATAGGTGACTGTTAACAATTAGAGCATGGTTTTGGACAGAGATACAAAAGAGGTATAGGAAAATGCATGGGGGTGGAGGAGAAGGGAAGCCAGATGGAACAGGGTAGCTGAAGTGCAAGCAGTCTCCTTACAGAGCTCAAGAGCATTAGGAAGGGCAGCTGGGAACGTCTGGCTTCGCTTAGGAGAACAGAGGCAAATGGCGAATGAGTCCAGAGTGCAAAATGTCCCTGGTTATGGTTGGCTATTGGGAAAGGTCTGGTTTTGTGAATGACTCAGTTAAAGAAGCGAAATGGATGAGACGGGTTCATGCAGACCGTCCTGCATGAATGTAGCGACTTCACTGAGGTAGGTGTCAGTTTTAAGGGGCTTGGGATCTTCCGGCAGCTGCTTGCTGTTGTTAATTTGGCTTCAGAGAACATAGCTTCTGTTGCATCTGTATCTTTCTCCAGGGAGTTTCCCTTTACACAGTCTGTTTAATTCTTTGTAGGAGTTTGGAAGTTGCTTGCCTTTTTGATTCCGGTCCATTTGTGGGATAGCTGAACTCATGTTAAAACTTGGTTAAATCTGATTACATTAAAAATCAGTTAAAACTGATAACAACGCCCACCTACAGGCATGGTGGAAAATAAAGCACACTTCATCTCCCCCTGCCTTATTTCCCATCATATGATGTCAAGCTGCATTTCGGGTCCTGTTCCTTTATAATGGCAGAATGGGTTTTGGAAAGAGCAGGCAGCAGGTCCCTCGGCTGTAATTGATGATCACATGCAGGAGTCGCCTGGGGATTGGCTCCTACTTGGGCCGTGCTTAGTGCTTTCGGAACACCTCTCTTAATTGGCTCACTTTCGCTGCCTGCACCAGAGTGGGTGCATGCCTCTTCCCTGTTCTGTTATCGACTTTTTGCGAATGAGACAGTGCCCAAGGTAAGTTGTTCTGTTTCTTTCTTTGCCGGTAAGGAGGCTATGTTCATGGAAGAATCAAGGTAGCAACTTCTGTTTCTCTAGATCTGCACCGGATTTTGGACTTGTCTGCAGATCTGGCTCATCCCACTTTAAAGCCTGAATTTACTGTGGTTGGGTTTTCCGTGTAGCTAGCTCATCAGCATATGTAGCTCATCAGCACGTAAGCCTTGCTGTTTGTCAGGTTAACACACCATTTGGGTTCGTATGACTTGTAGTGGATCTCTAGGGTAGGAGTTACAGAGTCCCCCTCCTCCACTTGGGAGATACAATGTCAGAGGCGTCTCTTGGCAAAATATCTGGTTCCAGTCAATGACAGCCTTTCGAATCCATCAGGATGAAATGTTTATCACAAGTACACAGTGAGGTTTTTAGTACGGTTGCTTTCAGATTATTTGTTACATTTATGTCCTGTTTAATTCCAAGGAACTCAAAGCCTCAGTTTACAGTTTTTCCTGCTCTTATGTTGTCCTTGCAAAAGCTTGTGAGATGGGTTTGGCGAGCTGTGTGACTGGCATAGGTACACTCTGAGCTTCATGACAGAGTTGTGATTTGAATCTGGATCTCTCCTCTCCTCCTCTGGTATTCTAACCACACTGGCTATCAGTTGATGCCGGCTCCACATTTCCTAACAAGCAAAGGGATTTGGAACTGTACTTTCTAGCTTTCATCTGTAAGTTGCCTCTTACACACCAGATACTTTATATCTAATCTATGCTTGTTTGGGTCAGGGCCCTAGTTTTTTTTCTCTCTCATGCAAAATACACATGCATATGTATGTACCAGTGTCTTGTCACATAAAAAGAAAAGAAAAGAAATGCTTTTGGTATGTGCTGTTCCCTCTGGCAAAAGCCAGAGATGTCAGAAGCACCTTTAAGTTATTTCGCCAGTTAGCTGACTGTAGTGCTTCTTGTAGGTGAAGCTGGTAAGTTGGAGATTCAGGCAGCCTTTGCTCTGTGAGGCCCCGTTTGCGCTCTGCTCTAGTTCTGGAAGGTCTGCGCTCTGAAGATGTTCCCTTTCGCAGATCCTCTTGTGCCTTGTAGAAAATCCAGGTCCTTTCCCATACATTGCTTATTGATAACCTCATGAAAAGGGAAGATTATTTAAGGAAGAAGTGCATACACATCACAGTCAGATCCAAACAAGCTGGAGACAGGAGAAAGGAGAATTCTACCCATTACCAGAAAGGAGAATTCTACCCATTAACACTGCCATAGTCGGAAAATTGGAATACTGCATGTCTCTGTTTCCAACAGCCTTTTTTCTTTCCTCAGTTCTAGGTCCCGTTCGAGATCATATTCTCCATCTCACAACAGGGAGAGGAACCACCAACGAGTCTACCAGAACCGGGATTTTCGAGGGCACAACAGGGGATATCGGAGACCTTATTACTTCCGTGGCAGGAATCGAGGTTTTTACCCATGGGGCCAGTATAACCGAGGTGGCTATGGGAATTACAGGTCCAACTGGCAAAACTACCGCCAAGCTTATAGCCCTCGGAGGGGCCGTTCCCGTTCGCGGTCGCCTAAGAGGAGGTCTCCATCCCCGAGATCGAGAAGTCATTCTAGAAATTCTGACAAGTCGTCCTCCGATCGATCGAGGAGGTCTTCGTCCTCTCGGTCCTCCTCCAACCACAGCAGAGCCGGGTCTTCTAAGCGCCGGTCACTGAAAGATAAGAAGTCTTCCTCCAAGGATGGCCGGGGGTCTCAGGCCGCAGGGGGAGACAACCAAGGGGATGACGACACGAAGGAGCAGCCGTTCTCTGGAGGAGCGGCCCAGGACGCCAAGTCTACAGAGGGATCAAAACCCTGGCAGGAAGTGGGCGCTTACGGCGCCAGTTCGGCCTCCAGGGCTTCTGCTGTCTCCGAGCTGAGTCCCAAAGAGCGCAGCCCGGCGCTCAAGAGTCCTCTTCAGTCCGTGGTGGTCAGGCGGCGTTCCCCCAGGCCAGCCCCACTCCAGAAGCCCAGCCCCACGTCCTCTAACCCTTCTCAGCTGGGCTCCACTCTGCAAAGCGGCAGCTCCTTCCAGGCAGGCACGCATCCGTTTGAGCATAACCTGGCTGGCCTGAGCCCGACGAGGAAGAGCCCTGTGAGCAAAAGCCCCACAACCATAAGTTCCCTTTATGGGACGTCCCAGAAGGAGGACATCGGGGCCGCCTTCTCCAAGAGGCAAGTGGTTTGGATTCCTAAAATTAGCTCCTTTAAAAAAAACAAAAAACCTGACTTGCACTTGCTTGATAGTCATTAGGATGATTATCCGTGATCTCTCGTGTTGAATTTAGAGGTAGGAAAGCCATAAAGGGCAGGCCTAGGTTTTATTTATGTAGCCTCTATGCCCAGAGCTGGACCAAAACAGAGTGTCCTGCTCTTGATTCCCAGTGAATTCACAGTTGATGAGTCATAACTAAGTTTGTTCTCACATAGTCTGGATCTGAATCACTGTTTCTAGGCCTTTTTGTAAAAACAGAGTATGGTTTAAGAAGGCATGTAAGATAAAAACAAAAAGAACAAAATAATCAGTTTAGGTAGGTTTTCAAGAAAAAAAATTATCCAACCTCTGCTTCTGGTAAAGAAAGCACAGGCGTGAAGCTGTGTTAATTTTGAAGTTGTACATTGTATATATATTGTGTAAATATCAGGTTCCACACACACACCCAGTTACCATAAGTAATTAGATTGAAATATTGACATATGCTGTGTGTTGTTCAAATGTCATGTTCATCTAAGTTTAAACTTTACCTGGAAACAATTTTTGCTGGAACATTTGTTAATATTTTAAAACCTGGCAGGAATATATACTTTTAAATATGCTTTTAGGAATCGAGGGGGAAAAACCAAAACTAATTTGGATATTCCTGAATTTTGATATTATTTAATTATCTCTGAGTTTTAGGGGTAGTTGCCTGGAAAATAGATGACAGATAGTTTTATGCGTGACCTGTTTTGTATCCTTTTTGCTCATTTCACTCACATGTAATCATTAAGCTGATTTATGCCTAACGCTAGATCATAGTTATTCTTTCATCCACGAACTATGGCGAGGCTTGAGTTTGTGCACTCTTCTTTGGCAAAGCCTCAAGAAGGAGATGGGGCATGTTGCTGATTTTCAACTAATAGTTTCAGTTAATCAGAATTCCCTTTGTATTTGAAGTAGTTTAAACTGCAGTTACGGAATGAGCCAAAGCATAAACACACCGTTTGATCCTGGCTTGCTTGAACCATCCAGACTTCCCTCAGTTTGGGTGTAATGGGAAGTCCTGGTTGGATTAAAATCACACGTGGAGGATTTCCACGTCTTCCTTGGGCATGCAAAATAGGGCTGGGCTTTTGGGCTTGGACTGTGGCTGTTGCCGAAACCTGTGACTTCCCATGGCTTCCGAACTAGTTAAATGAGCTGAGCATTATGCAGTGAGTCTCCGGCCCACCCCCACCCACTTTTCCTGTCCCATGGTTGTGAGGAAATGGAAAGCTGCTGCTTGTGTTTTAGATTTAACAGTGATTCATCACATTGCCCAAATCTGAAACTCTTGTTCACCTTAACCGTTGGGTTGGTGAAAACAGGTCAGCTGCGTGAACCGAGGTTGGTCATTGTTTCCACCAACTATAGTGGAGACTAGCAGGGGGCCAAGTGGGCCAGGTTGCAGCCCCCAGACCCCTTTTTCCACAGCCCCTGAGGCTCTGATCTGCTCTTCTGAATTTTTTTTTTCCCAAATTCAGACCGGTCACAGTTTTCCTCCACCCACTGTCCCAACAGGCTGTTCATGCCAGTGAGGGCCATGTTGACTGCGAGGCTTTCCATTCTCCACTGGCTGAGGAAGCCTTTCATTATTCTCAATTACAAGCCTCTTTTCCTATGATCTACCAGCCTGACTGTCTCTCTCTCTTTTTTTTGTTATTTGTAGTTTTTCAAGCTCTCTTTATTAAGCAGCTCCTGCTTTTGATTCTTCCAAGTAGCCAAGTTTGAAGTGCATGTTTCTTTGAATTGATTTAAATATATTGGAATAACCTTTAATTTTAAATAATCTTTAATTTAGCCTCATGCCATTTCATGGGAAGATGATGCAGTGGTCTTTAATGAACTAAAGCAAAAACAGTGCTAAATTTAAAAAAAACATTAATTTTCTTAGTATGCTTTGGCAGAAATGAACTAAGATCAGTCTTTTATTGTAATAACGACAATGGTGGATATGCTGTTTGAGACTACCATTGCAAAATCAATTGCTCTCTGCTAAGTTGCTGGACCAGGCAGCCTGCTTCTGCAGTTTTCGTTGTGGTTACAGCAGTAATCTCCAATAGCATACTGATATTTTGGATGCTTTACCTGGACACAGTGTTTGCCCAGAAAACATTCCATGAATATTTTCCATCTTGTGTTACTATAATCCATAAATAGAAAATAGTGTGGTATAGCTTGATACGTTTTTATTTTTGTTTTCATACAAAAATAAATCAGTAACATTGCAACAGCTGGTTTGCATCCCTTAAAAAAAAAAAACCCTTACGCAGTCAAAATTTCTGACCAGGTGGCAGAAAGCAGATAGTTGGGCTTCTCTGAAGAGAGTCTTTTATCTTGTAAGAGTCACCCTCTTGTTCTTCCTGGCAGTTGTGCATCCTGAACAGAAGAACCCAAGAGTTCCAGATGACAGCAATGGGGAAAGAATTAACCTTGCTACTGTTTTCTGCTGCTCTGCATGTATGCAGCTGTTTTTTGGCTGTTCGTGAATAAATATTAGGTTGTTTCTTAAAGAAACGCTCCTCTGAACCGTTGAGTGTCTCTTACTATTCACTGTAGTGCAGAGCCCATCAAGTGAATGTCTAAAAGATTAATTATGCATTTGAAAGCTAAGGCTACTAAACTTGCTTTTCCCAAAAGAGCCCCAAAGCGACTTAATTCCTATGCCCAATTTTTTAAAAAAATCACTGATAAGAAGTAATATCACTGATCAGAATTACCCTGATTTCTTGGCATTTTGGAATTTTAGGAATCAATGTGAAATGTTTAAGTGACAGTTACTGTATTGCATTAAAAAAAGGCTAGAAAGGTGGGCACTTCTTGCCCTATGTTTTGAGTGGAGATTTTCCTAGCTCTGTTTTGAGAAATGTTTAACAGGAATGTTAGATGGAACGGGCATAATTTTTGTCCTCTGGAATCTCTGGATGGGTTCAGTTTCTGACAAATGGTGACAGCTGTCCAAAAGCCAGTCTCTCCCTGGAAACAATGAGGGGGCAGAAAAATCCCTAAGATAGCAGTTGGTGTACAAGCTTTTTTTTTCAGAGTGCTCTTTGAATTTGCAGAAATACAGCTCTGTCCTGGGGCCCCAGTCTGAACAGTAAAGTGGCTGAGTATACTTTTTTCTCCCAGTCAATTAAGTGTTTCCCCCTGTTAACCTTTTTGCTTTTATTTGTGTTTTGAATTGTCCTATAGCTTCCATAGGAGACTTGCCTCCAAAAATTTGAAGTAGCTTTTGAGACTTTTGTTCCCACTGTGTGTTACTTAAAAGCACAGCAGCCCAAGGTGAAAATGTTGCTGGGCTAATTCTCCGCAAACAGGTTTGTAAGTGAATGCACAGGTTGGGTAAGATCTTTTACATATTTCCTGCCTTCTAGCTGTGCCAAGGAGGGTCTAAAGTCAGATTTTGTTGGTTCTGCCAAGCTCTGTGTGTTCAGGGTCTGTAGCCTGTTGTAATTGCTATATGTATTTCTAAACATTAAGAAAGAGATGGACCTTAAGTAGTGGTTTATATCAGTGACACAGACCTTCTGAAAGATGATTGTTTGAACTTGCAAAACAGCTTTTCAGTTATCTGCCTTTCTTTTTATAAATAGGTATTTGGAAGAGCAAAAAAGTGAGAATGGGAAAGATAAAGAGCAGAAACTGACAAATGTGGAAAAGGAAAAAATGAAAGAGAAGGGAAGTTTCTCTGAGATGGGATTAGCAGATGGGAAAACAAAATCAGATCCATACGCTTCCAAAGCAGACCCAGAAAAGCTGTATCGTGGAAGTCAGTCCCCCAAGCGCTATAAACTCCGAGATGACTTTGAAAAGAAGATGGCCGAATTCCACAAGGAGAGCCACTACGGCAAAGAGGAGTCGGAGGAGCCCGAGAAGAAAGCCAAGGGCAAAGGGAGGAAAGAGTCCAATTTTGACGAGGATGAGGACGAGGAGCCCAAATTTCTCTCTAAGACAGTGTCAGCTTCCAGTAAAAACCAGGAGGAAGATCGGACGGGCAAGTGGGAAGGCCTGGTATTTTTGCCCAAAGAGAAGCAGAGGAAGGCAGAGGAGATGGAAGAAGATGCCTATGCGGAGCAGTCTAAGAAAGAGGAAAGGCAGGCGGCCAAGAGAGCAGACGTCGGCCACCGAGGCTTTGTTCCAGAGAAGAATTTCCGAGTGACTACTTACAAAGCAGGCCAGGAGAAAGGGGCTTCGTCTCCTCCGCCACGAAAGGCCTCCGAGGGCAGAGAGAAGCCAGGTGCCCGAGGCGAGGGTTTGGCTGCCAAGTCCTCCTTTTCTATTACCCGTGAAACCCAAGTCAACCTCCGCATGGATTCCTTTGATGAGGATCTTGCACGGTGAGAAGCTCCGTTTGGCTTCATAGTTGGAGGGGAAAAGGGGAAACAGCAGGGGGAGACCGAGGGGAAGAGCTGCTCTCTACACCGATGTACCCCCTTTGCACGCTCTCTCTTTTTCTCTTTTACACTCAGCAGGCAAATGATAGTTTGGGGTATTTTTTAGAAGCCATTGATTGTTTACTTCCAGCATCACTGTGTTGAAGACATAGGAATAAACACTTATGTCCACAATGGAGAGAGAGACTGAATCAAGTGAACTCTGGTGTTCTGAAAAGGGAAGACTCTGAAGAATCTGAAAATGTAGCTGGTGTTGAATTGCTCACTCATCATGAAAACATTGCATTCTGAGCACAAGATGATGTAATAAAGAGTCTGGAGTTCTTACTCCTTTCATGTCTTCCCTTGTCCAGGCATGTGGTGTTAGGGAGTTATATTAAGGCCAATATTTGTGGTTAGTTCTTCTGTAGAAATCATGTGTGTTCGTAAGCTCTTAAAAAGAAAAGGAAAGATGATCATGTTTGTACCAGATTATCATTTATCCTAAACAGATGGTTATTGACAATTGAAATGACATTTCTTTTGCTTACAAAGCAAAGATTTTTATGATATAGGTTCTCTGTTTCACTCAGTAGAAAAAATGGTTCCAAATCCAGGAATAACATGTGCAAGTAATGGGATAATACTTTTAACTTGGAACGTGATTCTTGCTGTTGCTGGAATACAGGCCTACTGCATTCGTGCAGACACTTGTATATAGTGTCACTGGGTGGAAATTGATCAATTGCCTTAGAGGTGCGTATTCTGAAATCTGATACTTGTCAGCAGTAACATTCTTATTGTAACATTCTTGGTACAACCGACACCTGAAGTCCTGCAGCTTTTTGAGGCACGAAGCATAGCTCTGGACAGGGAAGCCCAGAGAAAAGCAGAGCTTTCCCCCTTTTCTTGCGCCTTCTACAACGAAAGACTTGGAATTGAAAACATAAGGCACTGCTGCAGACTAGTTGTTGGTGCCTTTGGGTCACGAGGTTTTAATTTAATGAGCTAGAGACCATTGAAGGTCATCTGTGCTGCCTGGGACCTTATGCAAGACCTTCTGTTTCTGAGGCCTTCTTCCACCACAGTTGGAAAGCAGGCTGCTGCTTTGGAGCGTCTCTCTCTTGAGGAGGGAAGTGGTGGGCAGAACCAGTAATGCACATTCTTCTTCTCTTCCTCCCCACTAGCCCAAGTGGGATTTTGGCTCAGGAGCGCAAGCTGTGTCGTGATCTGGTGCATAGCAACAAAAAGGAGCAGGAATTCCGTTCTATTTTCCACCACATCCTATCAGCCCAGTCTCAGCGAAGCCCCTCAGAGCTTTTTGCGCAGCACATAGTGACCATTGTCCATCATGTGAGAGGTGAGTGGCCCCTGATTCTGCTGGGGATGGAGTTGGCAGAGGGTTGGTTCAGGCGCACTCGTCGGGAGCAAGATGGGGGAGACAGTGAATGCTCTTGGTGTCTTTTCAGAGAATTTTGTAATGGCCTTTTTTTTCCAGATGGGAAAAGTACAAAAACTATACTTAAAGGTTTCTGGAATGGCAATCTCTTCCCTTTTTAAAAAAAAACCTCTTTGATATATTTCCCATTTAGCCCCGTTCCAAGTGGTAACAGTCTGAGCTAAGTCCACATGGCCAGCTGGAAGGCCCCAAAACTTTTTATCTGTCCCTTGGTGACCCTGCCAGGTTGTCAACAAGAGTACAGTGAAAGTTTTTTCCACCGTTCTGCTCAAAAGGAAAAAGAAAAAAGAAAAAAAAGAAAGAGAGAGAGAATGTTTTCCACTTTAATAACAGTTTCTCTCTGAACACCAGAATCATCATGTTGGGATCTCTTGGTGCCCGTTGTCCCAGCTGAGCCTGTTGCTCCAGGCAAAGTTCCTAAGCCTGCGCCGGTTTAATGGTTCATAACAGGCGGCCACTCCACATGGGAAATGAGCCACTGGCCTCTGGAAAGTGGCTCTGTTAGGAAGGCTGCTCATTCCTGGCCTTGAGCAGTGAGAAATGCAGAGTCCCCGGGCAGGCAGGGCAATTGGCTCGTGTCTTTTCCGTTCTGTTGAGCGCCTGCCTTCGCCACAGACCCTCTGTGAAGGCAGCACAGTGTAAAAATAAGCACAAGGATCACTTTATTTGAAGGTACAGACAGTCAAGAAGTGGGATTTGTACAAGAATTAAAAAGAGCAGGGAATCCTGGGGCTGGGGTGCAGTATTTGAAAAAGAAAGCTGTTGTGGTATTGCTTTAATGAGCAGAGGAGGAAAGGGCGCGCTCCTCTTCTTCTCTTCCTCTCCCCACCCCCCTTCTTCATCTCTGTATTGTTTGCTTCCTGAATCTGTTGCAGACCCTCTTGCAGCGCTCACTTTTGTCTAAAGTCTAAATGCAATATTAATGATATGGTATTTCCTCATCGCACATCAACAGAGCATCACTTTGGGTCTCCAGGAATGACCTTGAATGAGCGCTTTACAAAATACTTAAAGCGAGCGGAGCAGGAATCGGCTAAGAACAAAAGCCCCGAAATCCACAGGTGAGTAGCGGTTGGTATGGCACTGAGGCGTGGTCAAGGTGAGCGAAAGTGCCTGCTTGGGCCAGAATCCTCAAAGGGTAGGCCTTTGGCCAGCACAGGAAAAAGAAAGGCATGGAGCACCCCCTTCCTTTGCTTGGGGCGTTGCGTTGCACCTTAAGAAGATGTCAGTGAATGGGTCAACCTCTCTGAATTCGAGGCACCGTCCTAATTGAAGGAAAAGTTTTAAAAACAAACTATCTGGCCCACGCAAAAGCTTTTACAGGCAGGGCTCGGTGTGCTGTGCTGCCACCATGAATTCTGTGTCCGAAAGGAAAGGAAAGGCCTTCTTTTCTGGAATAAGTGGTTGATACAAAAGGAACAATTGCCAGTCATGATGGAGGCAAAGAAGCCGAAGCCTCATCCCTGTCGCTGGGCCCCTGTCTTGAGTCATCTCACTGATGACTGGAGCTTGGCAGGTATGGTTCGCAGGTGTCAGCTTCACCGTCCGATCTCGGCGCTAAAACCCCACCCCTGCCAAGCTGGGAGTCTCAGAATTCTTCACCCACGTCCCACAGACACCTCTCTGAAGAGCAGGATGGGGAACACAGTGCTAAACAGCTAGTGCAGAAGAACACTTTATTGAGATTCATAGTAACAATTTGTGACCCCTTTATATTTCATAGAATTTATCTCGTAATTACCCTGTACTTTAAGGCCACCACCGCGTCTTGTAAGTGAACATGGCTAAAACCTATCTCCCACCAACTAGTTGATGCAGTGTTGCTGGTCCTTGCCTCTCCCCCCCCCCCCGATTTGCCAAAAAGCACATTTTCGTTGCATTTTCTTAACCCTACCTTACCCTTTTGTGTTTAGGAGGATTGACATTTCTCCAAGCTCTTTTAGAAAACATGGATTTTCGCAAGAGGAGCTCAAAAGTTCCAAAGAGTCCAGCTACAAGGTGAACTGTTGCTTTTGATCTTTAGTGGAACACAGCGTGTAAGCTTTGGGCATGTGCTTTGGTTTTTTTATTTGAAAACAAAAAGTGATTTTATTTTATTTTTTGTTTAACCTGCTCTCTACTTAAGTTTGTGTTTTTCTTTCAAGGATGGGCATAATTCTAAAAATGAACTACAAAGGGTTAATTTTTATTAAAAAAATGTATCAACAACCTTTGTGAAGTGGTTAGAAATATGGTAAATGACCCCAAAGTCAATTGAGGTTGAGCTTGAGACAAAAAGAGTGGATTTTTGGAAAACAAGTGACCTTGATGATGGAAGAGACTTTTTGTGATATTTTGCTGCTTGTAAGTATGACTCAATCACTTGTCTTACCCGTGATATTTCCAACCCTGTTTTCAAACAGACGTGCATGTCAGAAAGGGAGCAGAATAAATAAAATCTGTATCTGAGCCAAACACACAGATGATGTTTTTCCTCCCCTACTAATGTGTTGTTTTCTGTTGACTACAGTTTAATTCAAGAGTTTTTTTTTTTAGAAAAACATTCTCTTGAGAGTGTTTAAGCTGTTAATGGACAATGAAATGATAATATGCCCTTTTATTTCATTATCACTAAGCTGTTTTTCAGTCAGCAAAGTATCTCGTCTCGTATTTAACCGTTGTCTGCTCATTTTCATAAGCATTTGTCTTAAAGGTTTTTAGCATCACTGCCAAAATGTTTGCTTTCATACCATGTCCATGGTCTCAGTTTCTCTGAACACGCTTGTTCTTTTTGAAAGATAATAGGTGGCTGGGTTTGAAGAGGCCTGGCCTCTGCTCCACATTGCCTGACAGGGGGCACATATATGTGTGTGTGTGAGTGAGTGAGAGAGAGAGAGAGAGAGAGCATACATGGACAGGCACATGCTTCTTCTCCATATGAACAGCGAAGAAGAGGTTCTTAGACAACTCTGCACGAAATTGGAGTGGAGCACTTAGCTGCTGCCTACCTGGATTTTGCTGGATACTTGATGGCAAACCAACTTCAGTCTTTGCTTTGTGGATGAAAAGAGCTCCCCCTTCACTTGCTGGAAGGCAGAAAGGACAAAGAGGGACTCGCTTCCGGAATGGTTGCCTTGTGTGCTCCTCTGGTAATGGAGGCATCCTTGATTTTCACCAAGACGTGTGCTGGAGCCTTGAGTAAGGAAGGCTTTCACTAGAAAACGCCCAACCGTGTTTGTTCTGCAATTGAGACAAAACAGATTTTTCCCACAACTTCTCGTCCAGTTCTTGTCAAGTCTTGCCTGTTGCCAGACTAGAAGCTTCTCTCTCTGTGTGTTTGTGTGTGTGTCTGTGTGTGTTGGGGTGTGTGTGGAATCCAGAGGTTCCAGGGATCCGCTGTTCTATTAGCCAGCAAAAAGACTTGTGAAAATCAACACCTGGTTTCTTGAATGATGGTTGATGCTTCCGATGGAAGACGTTCATTCTCCACCGTGGAATTCAGCATTTTGATGATCCTGTTCTTAACTGTTTCTTCCCCCCACGCCACCCTTAAAA